ATAGACTTTTTTGCCGTATGAGTATACGTTGCCCAGGGTGCACCACGTGGAGGTAAGTCTATCGCACACCCCCTTTGCGACGACTTAATTCTTGATATATGTGATCAGTTATTCAAATTTCCTGCGGACATAATCACACTGCCTCAGGCTTATTTATATGGACTGCATGATTTACTCATTATCTCATTGCCACATATCCGCGCTGCATATGATATCATCCTTATTCCTACACATGAAGTTCCACCATATCACAATGTCATGCTAGCGCGAGTATGCAACTACACATCTTGTTTCCTTCCTCCACCCCTCACCCATTCAATATTAATCTAGAGCCCTTTTATTCATTTATATCCATGGTGCTTATTCTCATCCGCCATTGCTTAGCAAACATACTTGCTCTCTGCCTCCCCCTGCGTGGCAATGACAACTAATAAATTGTCGTGTGCGTACTCCACATTCGACACTTACTCAGAGCACTACTGTTATTCTATTCAATGCATTTTTTAGACTTCTGTGCCAATTGATTTGGCAGTGCGGTAGTTCCAGCACTACTATTGGTCACGCTGCTAGTTCGTATAATGGTAAATATCGTAGTTGGCTTTTCCATCTGCTCGATCATCTCACAGACTTCACACTAACAGTTAGTTATCAGTGTGTTTTTCACACCCTCTTCATTTAGTCATGGGTAGCACTCGTGCTCTGACCTTAAGTGGTCTACGGACTTCCCTTGTTGTCTAACACCTGACGTATTAATTGGATTTTAACTCTTAAATAGACGGAGGAATGATAAATTCATAATCAATGAATCCATTCCAAAAAGAGAAATTCGATACGAATTAGAATAAATCCACAAACTCGGCCATTTGAACACGCACATTAAAAATGTATTATCTAAAAAGTAAAAATAACTTGTAGCGACTTGCCGCCTAGTTACAAATGTACAACACGATTTAAATTTATGTTAATCTAAGGGCGACTCACAAACGTACAAGGCTTTAAGTACACAAATAAAATTGACTTTTGGTTTTTTCATCGCATCAAGGGCACGAAACAGACAAATGGCAGCACCAACTAAAGAGGTGAGAATGGGCTATGCCATTATCACTTGGAATTCAAGTACACAGTCCTAAAAGCGATGCTGTGACAATATTACCAACGTTAGCACAATGCAAGACAACAAAAACCCAGCAAATAACAAGAGTTACCATCAACTTATGTGAACACGTCAACAAGTAACTAATAAATTTAGTTAATTAGTTTGCAAGGTAGGAAGTCTAGCTTGATAACAAATCATTTTCATGCACAGACATGAAATAATAGTTCTCATATAATTCTCAAAATGACTCCAAACATTCATGTAGAGAAAAGCAACTGGATAAAAAAGTCCAAACGGCCCCCTCAATAACCAGTACAATCGGGATTTAAAAGAACTGGGCTCGATAGGCTTCAAAATTGCAGCATCAGATAAATCATTGAGAGCTCCCCGCAAATGCCAAACAAGTTAGAATTCGGAAGATCGATCGTACAGTTGGACATATTCTCCACATTTTGAATACAAATCACGATAGAAAGGGAGAATCGGATGCCATCGACCATTGGAAATAAGAGTGAGATTGGAGGACAGTGACAGATCACAAACTTAATGACGAAATACAAATTGGCGGACTTCATTGTAAGTGAGGACTGCAAAGTTTGTATGAAAGGAAAATGGCTGAGAAATCATAAATCTATCCATTCAGGATTTCTATAAAGTGACAAAAGAAACAAGATTCGTCAAACTTTGATCTGGGGGACCACAATTGACCCAGATATTATGGAACTCAAATGAAAAAGGGGTCACCAGATTATCTGATTCACTTTCATTGTCCATTCTCATTCCCAAAATCCATAATCTTTATCTTCCTACGTATGTAGATTTTTCGCATAACTAAAGGTTACCAAATTCTTCCATTCCACACCATGAAGAATGGGCACGATAAGGTCTAGAATCTAGGTGGCATTATTTCGACAGCATACCTTTTGGTAAGAGCACTTCCTCCTTCAAATAACCGTCCAATTATATTCTTTGGTTATGCCAACGACCTTGAAAGCAATCGCCTCAAAAGCACACTACCTTCGTGAACAAGGTCGTCTGAGCCACTGAAAGCAGTGATGTCTCATTTATTACACCCCCAAGCACGGCTTGTCATTTAGTAATTAAAAAATCTGAAAGTGAAAAAAATGCAACCTATTTTGATGTTTATGAATTAATTAATACGAAACGTTCATTGTAAATTCAGTTGAGAGTGGCATAAACTACTCAAGAATAAATCATGGAGTCGGTAATAGGAAATTGCAGGAACAGAAATGCGTCATTTTAAAATTTTAACTGTAAAAATGAGTGAAGAAAAGACTTGTTTTTATGTCTCGGAAAATATACTATCAAAAACAAACACAAGGACGTTACTTCACTTAACAGCAACTAGAAGACACTTTTCCAAATGGCCTGAGGATTTAGCGGAGCTAAATGGACGCCAGCGATTGTCTTCTTCGGATACTAACAAATCTCCTCACAAGTAATTAGGAAAGGCATAGTGAGGATAGCTATAGTAATTCAAGATTCTGCACTACAAAAGTACAAAACAAATGAAGAAATAATCAACAAAATCACAGTGATTTAAAGCAACGCGTGAGAGGGAAGAATAGTAAAAAAATTCCAAGTACTTTTACTGGCTAAACTAGGCCACCTAAGCGATTGCTTTAGGATAAAAAAAGCGAAAGCAGAAAAGTTGGTCCAAAAGAAAGTAAATTGTACGTTGTGACTCCTTAGTCATTAAGATGGTATTACAGTTATTTAAATTAATAGGGTGCCAATTTTCATTAAAAACATTCCTTTAATTGTCTTATTAGACGAACATTTTCAAAAGCAAAACAAAATAAGGTTTCCAATAATCGAGTGGGGAGGATAATCGTAGACTTGTGGCCCACAGAGCCAATGTAGTGAGAAGATTCATCTTAACAGACTTCTAAAGAATATCATGTGGATAAGATTCAAAGTAGAAGATTCCGCTTTTGGGCCGCTATGAAAAGAGTAAGGAGAACTGGAAGGAAAGCCAAATAGGTCAAAACATGAGGGAGGTGTGTAAGTGGTCGGATAAATGCTAGTAACCACATTACGAAATAGCGAGAACCGATAATGATAATAGATATTAAATAGAGTTTAAAGGTGAAATAGTAATAGTCCAATTGAGAATAAGTGAATAGCAGTAAGAGAAATTTTGTATCCATTGACAAATTTCCAAATAACTTAAAATCATAAGTAGATGAGGACTTACCAAGCAGTAAATCACCCACAAAAACACACTCCACGTTGTCATTAACATACATGGCGAAACACATATGGTCGACACTGTGACCAGGAGTGAAGATAGGTTTCAGCTTAATTGAAGGATTTTTGGGGGGAGAGAAAGTCATGCTCTCATCAAGCATATTCAGCGGACCGCCATAATAGCCAATGGATTTGAGATTGGGACCCTCAGGGGACTTGTAGACCTCCAAATGAAAATCTGGCTTGGGTGGGGTTAAGCTTTTGATAAGTTTCTGTAAAATAAGAACAAACAGGCTATCTAACAAAAGCATTCGAATTTTTCGTTAAAATGAGTCAAGTGTTGGAAATCACATAGTTAAATTTGAAAAGGAATTTCCTAATTAAATAAACATAAAAATCATACTCATAGAAATATTAACTTCAGGATTTCTGGCGATTATGAATAACGCTTTCAGCTTCCACAAAATCCGATTTCTTGTTAGCAAACAGTGACTGAATATTTGCATAAGAATAAAACGTCCAAGGACTGGATCAAAGATTCGAAACTAGTCATTATAAAAGCAGAACATTGAATAAGCAATTAAACCTTAAACTAGAGCTCAAGAGAAAAAACATCGACTTACTGCCGATGCGACTTTATTGCTGTTATAATGAAAAGATGTTCCAGTTGCTTCAAGTTCTCAAAAAAAGAAAAAAAGAGAGATAATATAGTTCTTTAAGCAAAAATGTATTCAATCAAGGGATTTTTAGGCAAAAGACATTAAAAATGTCTTATGATTAATATTGGAAAAAATCAAATTAACCGAACCCGATTAGAGCAAGGCACAAAAAGAAAGGACAAGCTCGAAGCTCAAAACAAAGACAGAAATACCCTGTTGATCCAGAAAACGTTTTACTATCAGTATAAGTAATTAAAAATTAACAATTATATCAAAATTAAGCTAATGGAACAATAAATAACGAACATGAAAATTACCTGAACAGCCTCAATGCCCTCTGTGTGATCTGGATGCCAATGTGTTAAAAGAATTTCAGATATGGGGGGTTCGGAGTCAGGAACGATTTTATCTTTAGGTTCAAGAACTGTCCTGAGCAAACTAACGTATTGGTTGATGCTCGAGACATCCCCTCCTGTGGTATCAATCAAGATACGTGGCTCAGTCTCACTTCCAACGAGATATGAGTTTGTTCCCTGAGTAGAAAAGCAATGGATGTTACTGAACAAAAGAACTGTCAAAACTACATCATAAAATAAGAGCAAAAATTTCGCAAAATCTTAGATAAATTTCCTGTAGTGTTGAGACTTAGTCATATATGATGGGCTATAATTGTCACAGCTATATGAGGTACATAGAAGGGATAAATAAAATTTCTCATATGCCCACCTGCAATGTCATCATTCCTGGATTTTGTCCAAGGATGCGTGTGACATTAGGACAAACAAGAGATGTGTTTGGAAGTTGGGGATGTAGGCTGTTCATTTGTAAAATGAAATTGATTACCGACGCACTGTTTCTAAAACTAAATTGTAAAAAGCGTATGGTAAAGAAAAAATAGTCAAAATAAACATTTTGCGAGACAACAGTGAGTTATTATTATACATACGATAAGATATTTCGCAAAATATATAGCAGCACGCTTAAGATTGAAAGGGAAACTCTGGAATCAGTGGACGAAATCGCGCCTAACCGAAAGTTCTTTATAAGTATCATGATAAAACATAATATTTTTATAATATGAACTATTTAGAAATAAAATTTGGATTGTTTTTAATTCTAATTACACTTGAAATAGTTATTAAAAGGTATTTATATTTTCTAATTATCAGCAATTTAATAACTATTTCGATTACAAACTCGAAAACTCAAGTTTTAAAATTGAAGTATTCAACTGATCATTCTATTTATTATTTAATTTATGTTTAGTTTGAGTTATACAGTTAATTATCAACTGTAGCTAAGTTTTAAAACCATAGTGAATTTCCACCTCTATTTTTGGCATAAAATGATATCATTCGGACGCCATGGTAGGTAATTTGACTTCTGCTATACACGTCATTATTACACACTTTTATAGAAACTTCAAATAAGTAGGCCTTACTTGAGATGCAGTTAGTTTTGAGCTCCAATGTCATTTTGATCAATGTGCAGGTATGCTGTATCAGAATCTAATTCCCATGAGGTCATATCTAGTGAGGTGAATGAACAGCCATACTACTTAATATCAAAGATGGCAAAAATCGAGTCCCATATCAATGTGATTCTTTGAAGTCAAATCCTATCCTGGATAACCTGTCGAGTATCATTTTCATAATGTGCTTGAGAATTTCTGCTACAATTATGCAAGTATGAGCTTATTATTTCTATGCCAATTTCTTTCCAATAATGTCATCTTGAGGTGCAATTACGCTATATTACAATAGATCATAAGCCCAGTTGACAATCTCACAGGGGGAAGGTCACAGAAGTAACGCAGCAAACTGAAATTTAATTGGTGTTGAATTGAACAAATAGGCCTGATTACAAAGTGGTTTCTGTTAGTGAGGAAAAAGATGTAAGAGGTACTGGTATTTATAGAAGGAACACTGTAATTGGCAGAAAATAAAGATTATTTGTCTAGCAATTCGTATTTAGAATATACAAAACGTCTTTGGGGAATCCATTTATTTAAAGATATCTTCTAGTAAGAATTTATTT